TCCTATATCAATTCATAGATTTAATGCAACCTTCTTCAGAAATTCAGTTAATATGTTTGTAGATGTTTTGAAAAAACAGTTTTGAAAAAGGAGAATAAAGTTGGAAAACTTATTTCCTATTTCAAAGTTCACTGAAAAGCTGTAGTAATGGAGAAAGTGGTGCTGGTGTAAGAACAGATGTATAGATCAATATAGAACAGTGGGGTAGAAAGAAGAGTCCAGAAATCCTCACTTTGACAGTTAATTGATTTTTCATCAAGAGTGACAATGGGGAAAGAGCAGTGTTTTCAATTAATGATGCTGGAACAACTGGAAAGCTTCTTGCAAATGGAAAATTAGACCCAGACCTCCCAACATAAACAAGTTAACTCCAAATGATCAAAGACTAAAGAGCTAAAACTATAAAATTCTTAGAAGAAAACATTGCAGCAATTTTTTGTGACATTGGTTTTGACAATGATTTCTTAGACATAAAACCAAAATCACAAACAAGTAAAGAAGACATAGATGAATTGAAGTTTCTGGGGTGTAGTGGGTGATAAAAATGTTCTACCATTGACTATAGTGACAGTAGCACGACTCAATAAATTAAACACCATGGAGTTTTACACTTAAAGTGGGTGAATTTCACGGTATGTGAACTATATCTCAAAGAGAAAAGAAAAACAAAATAGGCACAGAAGCATGCATGCAAACATGCATACACAAATATACACACACACACATATACATACACCCCAACAAACAAACAAACAAAACAGGCACTTCACAACAGAAGATATGGAAATGTTCAATAAGGCATATAAAAATGCTAAGTAATCTTTTTATTCAGGAAAGTGGCAAATTAAAACCATAATGAGATATACCAAAGAATTATGAAGACAGTACCAAGTGCTTACCTTAAAGAGGTTCCCACACTAGCTTCTCACATTTCTGCCATTAATTATAGCACTTACTCTTGATGACCCTCCAGGTACCATAGCTTCGGCTGTTATACCTCTTTGGCAGCCTTGGCATCCACTTCACCACTGTTATAGCCTGGACCCCTGAGTAGAGTTTGCTAACAGCTTGTAAAAGTAAATAGCACATACCTAGAAAACAGCATTACTTACCATAGGATTTTATTTTGGGCTCCAAGGTTAATCCTCCAAAGGTAAGAAGTCCGGTACTTGATGTTGTTACCTATCGGTCTGTTTCCATTTATGGTTACTTTTTCTCAGTTTCCCCAGTAAATGGAATAGAAAGCACTTTCTGTGTCCCAGCAAGATAATTACGTGGTGAAAGTCTTTAATAAGTATGATGATAACTTATGAGGAAGTGATCAACTCTGCTGGAGTGGCCCTAAAAGATAAAATGATTGAACATTCGGGCTGCGTAGGAGTTTGGTAGTGGGTAGATGGGTGCCATGACTGAGGAGGAAAACCATTTATGCATCGACACCAGTATCAGGTTTAAGTAAATAAGTACTTAAAAGGAAGCAAAATTCATTGTTAGTTTACAGGAATGTTATGTTCTTTTACACCTTTTTATTAATTAGCTTTGTGTTCAGATATAATTAAAAC